TATACCTTAGCTCTAGGATCTCTAGATTTAATAGACCTAAATGCAGAAAATGCAGCTGTTCCTCCTCCTATTAAAAGATAAGGTATTTCTGAAGGGAATGACTTAGAAGTAGTTGGAGATTTAGTTTTCTCAAGTGATCCTCTCTGTCTCCTTGCATCCAGTTTCTCTAAATATTTAACATAAAAAGAATTAATCATAAGATTTCATAATATATTAAAGATTTCATAATTATAAGCTATCTTTCAACTTACTCTTACTTACATCCGTCTGAGAATCTGATTTCTTTGCAGTAAACCAATTCGTGGAAGATATCTATACAATATGTTCAAATAAAAATATTAAAGAAAGAAAAAAAATTAAAAATCTTTCATATTATGGTTTATTATAACTTCATTAGCTGTTTTTTAGAATGTAATTAAAAATTAAAATAAAACAATGTAGAATAAAAAATATTAATACCATACCACATATATTGTGACTCCTGCTAAGAGTAAAGTTGCCAATATCTTCCAATATGGTGGTGGTGGTGGTTCCTTGTCATTTGATTTCTGAGAATCATCTGATTTTCCGCAAACTTCATAACAAGATGGTGGACAAGATGCATTAGGATGAGATTCACATAAAGGGATAGATCTCTTTGGTTTGGAATACCTACTTTCAGGTACACATTCTTCTGGCTTTATGGTGGTGCCTGGATACTTGTATGTTTTCTTGTCATTTGTATTGCTACTATACCATAAATTATGAATACTAACAATTCCTAAAATCAAGAAGAAATGAAAAAGATTATTTAAAATTAAAATGTAAACAATAATTAAATAAATTTTAAAAATTAGAAAGATTAATAATTAGTTTTATTACTAAATATAATTTACTTTATTACTAAACATATAGAACTTTCTTTCACTAATTTTCTTAAAATCATTAAAATACAAATGAAAACTTTGATTATTTCAATATAAAGTAAGAAACATGAAACAACAGAAAATATTTTGAAGTTATTAATATACAACAAAACGTATGTTAGTCAAATCTCATCAATAATTATGTACGAAAAAAAATATAGAAAAAAAAGTAATCACACTTCAAGTTTAGAGGTTATGTCGCATGGTACACAATCAAATGTACCATACATAAATTTAACAAAATATTAATTAAAAAATATTTTTATCTAAACATGTATTTACAATTATAAAATTTTATGGTTAATGGTAATGACTAAAATATCAAACAAAGAATTAACATGAAATTGTATCATATAATAGAAAGAAGTTAAAGGAAGAAATATCGTAAATTAAAAAGAAATTATATTTTTAAGAATAAATTAAATGAATACTTACCAACGTATTTTAGAGGTCGATAAAAATGATTAGCATGTGAATGCCTTGTAAGTTTTGGCAATCGTCCTATAACTCTACCGCAGCTTAACATTTTTGACGGGCCAATTTTGGCCTTATGCAATATGGAAGTGGCGCGTGCAGCCGGTTTTGTTATCCCCACGCACGACTGGAAGTCGCTTTATGGTTTTCCCTTTACATTCGAATGACACGGGACACTCCATTACCAAATTTCTTTTGCAACCAAGTTGCCGTACTCACAATTCATCGATTTTGAAACACTTTCTCAAAAATTGTTTGCAATGCGTTAAAAAAAAAATGTAAATTTAATAAAATCTGGATTACAAACTCAATTTGATAACGAATGACAGCCGCGCAGACGGCATAGTGACAATCGCGCAAAATCAATCCAATTCAAATGATACAAATATGTAAGTAAGCATATATACAATATGTTTATCAAATTAAAAATAATATGTGAATGTTTATAAATTTAGAATATTTAATGATATAATATTTACATAACTCAAGTCTATAAATTCAATTTAATATGGATGTTGATTATTTTATTCGTAAAAAGTAATTACGTATAAATTGACACATTATTGCATATATAATGTATATTAAATAGTTTGAAATTAAAAATGTTTTAAGATATGGA